ATTAAATTCTACAATAAATGATTATTTTTTCTTATTATTTATCTTTAATTGTTTTATTAAGAATATTTTTATTAAATTTTTGTTGCAATTAATATTTTGCTTTGATTTTAGAGTTGCAAAATTGTGCTGTCTATTTTTTTCCTCTTTAGGAAAAGGAGTTTTTAAAAAATGTTTTATTTTTAGTCTTCTTGAAATCAAAAAGTCAAAAATTTGTTTTTGTTAATGTTTTTGTTTTAAATTTTTTACTTGACTTTAGTTTTTTCTTTCGTTTTTCTCTTTTAAAATTTCTTAAGTTTTTTTAGGTGTCTAATTTCAGGGTGTTCACGCATTTTTTAAAGTTTTTCGATATCTATTTTTATATATTTTATTTTTTGTTTTTATTTTTATTTTCATTATCAGTGAGGTCGCATTCTTTTATTTCCAAATTTCATCTCCTAGTTTTAATTTTATCACATCTATTTTTTTTAATATTTAAGAATTTTTGTTTTGTGCTTTCCTCTTTCTAAGGATTAAACTTTTTAATATATATTTTTATTTTTTTTCGCTTTGTAAAAATCAATTTTTACACAAATCACATCAAATTAGTGTGTAATTTGTGCATTGTTAATTGTTATAAAGCGGCAAATTCGGTGTGCCGCTTCGTAAAAATTGTGAACCGATTTATAACAACCAAAAAGTGGTAAGAATAAATTTTTAATCAAATTAAATTAGTTTAGTGTATATTTTCAATTGCTCAGTCACCGGATACGGAAATAATGAGGGACATTGACCGAATAAAGAATGGGTTTTGTGTAGTAATTGTAATTTTATTTTTCTTTTTTATTTGAAATAGTTTGTGTTTGCTCATTTAATGGAAATTTATGTTTTAATTAATAATTGTGTGTGAGAGAAAATAAATAATTGTTAGAACAAATCGAAATAATTGCACATATTTTTGTAACATTATTTCAAAATTTTTACAAAATTTTATAAATTGTGTCACTTATGTTGTGCAATGACGTTAATTGTGTGACATTAATTGACATAAAAACGTATTTAAGTTTCAAGGAAAAAAATTTTGAAACTTTAATTGCTTTAATATGTAATTTGAAATAAGTAGGCGTTGCTTGGCCAATTTGCCGGTTTAAAAAATTGTGAACCGTTTAAAATACTAATTTCAACAAAAAGTGGGCTGTGATTCTTAAAATTCGGGTTCGTGTGCCGCTTCTTAAAATTGTGAACCATTTTATAAGGAGAAAAGTTAAATATCTGTAAAAAGTGGGCTGTGGTTTTCATTTCTCAGAACGGCAAATTTAGACGTGCCGCTTTTTTCTAATTGTGAACCGACTTAGCAATAGAAAAATGGGAAAATGGATTGTTTTTCCGCTTCTAAAAATAGCGCACTGATTTAGAAAAAATAAAAAATGCTTCACACTGTGGTTTTCACTTCTCAGAACGGCAAATTCTGACGTGCCGCTTTTTTCTAATTGTGAACCGACTTAGCAATAAAAAAATCGAAAAATGGATTGTTTTTCCGCTTCTAAAAATAGTGCACTGATTTAGAAAAAATAAAAAATGCTTCACACTGTGGTTTTCACTTCTCAGAACGGCAAATTCTGACGTGCCGCTTTTTTCTAATTTTGAACCGACCTAGCAATAAAAAAATCGAAAAGTGGATTGTTTTTCCGCTTCTAAAAATAGCGCACTGATTTAGAAAAAATAAAAAATGCTTCACACTGTGGTTTTCACTTCTCAGAACGGCAAATTCTKACGTGCCGCTTTTTTCTAATTKTGAACCRACYTAGCAATAAAAAAATCGAAAARTGGATTGTTTTTCCGCTTCTAAAAATAGYGCACTGATTTAGAAAAAATAAAAAATGCTTCACACTGTGGTTTTCACTTCTCAGAACGGCAAATTCTKACGTGCCGCTTTTTTCTAATTKTGAACCRACYTAGCAATAAAAAAATCGAAAARTGGATTGTTTTTCCGCTTCTAAAAATAGYGCACTGATTTAGAAAAAATAAAAAATGCTTCACACTGTGGTTTTCACTTCTCAGAACGGCAAATTCTGACGTGCCGCTTTTTTCAAATTGTGAACCGACTTAGCAAAAAAAATCGAAAAATGGATTGTTTTTCCGCTTCTAAAAATAACGCACTGATTTAGAAAAAATAAAAAATGCTTCACACTGTGGTTTTCATTTCTCAGAACGGCAAATTCTGACGTGCCGCTTTTTTCAAATTGTGAACCGACTTAGCAAAAAAAATCGAAAAATGGACTGTTTTTCCGCTTCTAAAAATAACGCACTGATTTAGAAAAAATAAAAAATGCTTCACACTGTGGTTTTCACTTCTCAGAACGGCAAATTCTGACGTGCCGCTTTTTTCTAATTGTGAACCGACTTAGCAAAAAAAAAATCGAAAAATGGATTGTTTTTCCGCTTCTAAAAATAGCGCACTGATTTAGAAAAAATAAAAAATGCTTCACACTTAATTAATATTCAAGGCCGCGAAAATTTCCATAAACCGGTTAATAAATTGCGCTTCGCGTAATGGTTTTGCCCATGATGGTACTTACTTTGAAACACCCCATGGCGGTCATCCAAGCATTCACCCACTGCAACCCAGCACCAGCACCAAACGAGTGGATATGACCATCGGCATTGTCTGCGATTTATACAGCGTATCGCCGCATGCCCATGGGCCATGGGTCAGTGTTGGTAACCTTGTGAAGAGTAGGAGGTATTGACGACCCAGACAAAAAACACGATTTTTTAATTTTTTTTTGTGTGTTTTTGAGATTGTGGAAATCCGGGTTTCCGGAGATAAATTTGCGGTTGCCAATAGGTATTGAGAGGAAGTCCCACCGCAAATAAATCCTCGATTCTAAAGTTTATGATTGGAGTCAAAGCCAGATTAACTTCGAACTAGTTTACATAGAAAATTGGGAGAGATGAGTGAGGGAGGGCAAATAGAAAGGGATCAAAGGGATTTTTTTTTTGAATTTTCTGCATGTGTTTACCTGGAAATTATTGATTATAACTAAAAAATGTTTGTGAGATTATTTGAGAGATTATTAAGAGAAGAAAAAACTAATAAATTGAGAAAAATATTTGGGTAAACAAAGGAAAAAGTAGGAAAAAGAAACAAAACAAATAAAAAATTACAAATATAGCAAAAAGTTTAATCCTTATAAAGAGAAAAGCACAAAACAAAAATTCTTAAGTACTTAAAAAAATAGTTGTGATAAAATAAAAACTAGGAGATGAAATTTGGAAATAAAAAAATGCAAAGTCATTGATAATGAAAATAAAAATAAAAACGGAAAAAATAAAATATATAAAAATAGATATCAAAGATCTTAAAAAAATTAGT